GATTTTCACACTCAGTCCTGCACACAGTCTTGGGCGATCCCACATGATTTTGTGTGGCAGCCATGCTCTTTTTGAAATACTGCATGGTCCAGAACAGATTGCACAGCAAGGTGAATCACAGCTGTGAACAAAATGTCTGGACAATTGCTATGGCAAAAAGACTGGCATTGCTTCATACTACTGCTGCCAATTATCTCCTGGTTGTACAATGAATCCCTTATCACCTTCTCTCACCAGTGCTGGGCAGGAGGAGCTTTACAGCCTTTACTTTTGCCTCACTAATCTTTGCTGGACTGACAAGTCCCATGGACCAGGAACAGTCTGCTCTTCTGGCTCAGAAACAGAGCCCATACATTGCTTTCACTGACTGAAAATGTGCACTCAAATGTCCTGGTGTGCCCTTTTTGTCTTCTAATGAAAGCTCAATGTCACTGCTTACCCCATCAGGAACAAATGCCAGCAGCATGAAGCCCCAATTCTGGCCACTTCTTGCACCAGACAGCAGCTGAACTGTCTGTCTCAGGAGAGGGGCACTGGGCAGGAACATGCCTGGGTGCCAACATGCCTGGTGCCATGTGTAGGCCATCCTGTTGTCAAAATACACCCAATTTTGGTGTCATCATTGAACTAGCAGGGCTGCATCACTACATCTCTTCAGTGCCCTTGTACCCACCAGGCCTAGAAAGATGAGCTGCTCTGAATGGAAACAGGGTCCTACCAGCCCCAGACTCTGCTTACTGTAGCACTGGCCACCTGCCCTACAGCAGGTGAATGCTGCCCTATTATGCAGTCCTGCTACACATGCCAGAAGTGATTGGAGCCCTTCAAACCCCGAGACAACGTTGTGTATTCATGAGTGCCATCTGCTGGCACCTTCTCCATTAACCTTTCCAAAGCCACTTAGAGGACTGTGGAGCTCTCCACATCCAGAGCACACAGGTACTGTTGGCTCTTGTCCCCTTCCCAGCAGGGGAAAAATTCTGTGCCTTTTCCAATATCCCAAACTTTCTGGTCTCATCAGCTGCTGGAAATATATCAGACAGATCCATTTTTACACTAATTATTTAAGTAAAATGAACATGTTTCCCTGTTAAGGTTAAGCACAAGAGTTAAGGAAACACTTGAGACCTCAAGAGATTCTTAGTGATGCTTCCACTATCTGGATAACAAGACATCAACACAAAAAATATCCACTCAATGTATAAGTGTACTGGCTTCTTCCTCAAAAGACTGCCTGGCCCTCTGGAACCCCAGTGTCTAAGGATTGCAGCTGCAAAGAGAACCTCAAGATGCAGAAAGCCAGGTATCTTACAGAGTGTGCTGAGGGCCAGAAAGAGTGGCTCTGCCATGAGCAACTTAGTAAGTTAAGTAGATTGTAGCCTAATTAAAATACAGCCTTTGCATCTTGCCTTTCTTCCTTGATGACGTTGGCAGCAGGTATAGGTTGTCCATAGGTTTAAGCTGCAAGAAGGAAACACCTTCTAACCATGGAGAGAGTGGAACAGCCCAATGATGGGGCTGGAAACCCAGTGACTGCAGTATGGCACCAACTGTGCTCATGGAAAGCACCACTGGACATAGGTGCCTGCAAGGCAGAGGGAGAGAAATGAAAATACAAAAGGCTCCTCCTCCTAGTGCTTCCTTCCACAGTAAACTTGGTTTTAGAAGCACCAAACACTTGCCATTTCAAATGAAGTTCCCAGGTGTTTGGCAACTCTAGAAAGCAGCTCCTTCACCTTAGCATTTAAACCAACACAAATGCAATGCTTTTAGGGGTTGGAATGAAAGACTAGTTCTGCCAAAAACTGCAAAAGCAAGTGGCAATCATGTATCACAGGGAAGCTGGAAAAATGAGGGCATTACTTGTGTTATGGCATCTCTCCTCCCTTTCTGCCAGGAACGTGGTAGGAATGGAATGGGCACAATTTCCAAAAGGCCACAGAAATGAAGCGTTAACCAAAGATTTGACCTCCACACACAACACCTCACAAATGGGACAACTCTACCACAATGAAAAAAGGGTGTTTTGTTTAAAGATCCTTTATAGAGGGCAATGGTCTGGTCAACGAAAAAATTGGATTTAACTTGCTTAATCTCCAGCAAGGTCTGATCAGAAACTCACTGGAAAAACCCAATTGTTGCCAGCATTGTGCAAAGACAGATGTGTCACAAGCACAGGCTGTCATGCTAGGGGAAGGAGGTGTTCAGGTACCAAGGGAAGATGACAGCCCAGGTTCTTATGGAAACCTGCAATTCATGTCAGGATGAACTGTTACAAAATAAAATACCAACATCTCCCACTACAGAATCAGTTCAGAGTGACCAGAGGTGAAATGCTAAAACAAATACAAATGTGCAGAAGGGCTGAGCCACAGAGCCAGAGCACTCAGGAAATGCCCAAGGCAGCTTCACCCAGACTACATGTCCAACATAATTCCCTGCCCAGACACAACCTCCAGATGCAGACAGTGCTGGAAAGTGTAAGTATTTGGCAGATGAAAAGGCAAAAAACATCTGTAAGCTCCTAAGGTAAAAGACATTACTCTTGCCCCTAATAACTTACAGATGTATTTTTCCCTATCTTGTCTGCAAACATTTCAAACCAGCATTGCATTTCCTAGTGAACTGTGATGCCCATGGAAGGGAACTCAAGTGAGACGATACAGTACATTGAAAATGAAGTTTCCAAAAGCATTTGAGATAATGGAAGAGAAAAGAAGAGATCAGAAGCAATAATGAATGAACACAGAGACAGGATTTCACTGTACATCAGAACTCTGAGCTTCAAAATCACATGGAAATCTCAGCTTTCCTAATTGTAACAGGAAATAGCTCAGGAGATCGACTGAAGGCTCTGAGGCAATTCATTTTTCAACAAGATAATGTGGTCTGCAGCCAGAGCATCACACTGCAGTCATGCTGCCTGGTACTCAGTGTGAAATAAGATCAAAGAGCAAACAGGAAAGGATCCAACAAGGCACAGTGAGAAGCTGCAGGCACATCACTGCTCTCTCACAGCTCACCTCCCTGAACACAGAGAGTGCCTGCACTTACACAGAGAAGAAGCCAGTAATGCCAAGCAACCCTTTTCCTGCTTGCTGCAGTGCTCTGCACACACTTGCTCAGAGCCCCCACAATCCAGCCCAGCAGCACTGCTGGGCAACTCCAGCACAGCAGGGTCAAAGAGACAGAACTCCAGAAAGGTCTGGCTGGG